CGATGTTGAAATAGGTGATTATCGGCCTTCACAGCTTGGTTAATAGCTTCGTTGAGCGTTTGTGGATCAGGAAGAGTTAACAGCAAATCCTTCACATCATCCCTTAAATCCCAATAGAATTGACTCATCAACGCTTCTTCGTCTCAATTGATGTCGCATACTAATTGCCTGAAGTCCGATGCATAGACTGATGTAGAGCGCATCCCTTCTCGTAGTGACCAGATCTTTGTTGTAGCCCATCGAATCTTATCGTGTTCACCAAATGCTTCCGCAAATGCCTCCAAAAAGGTTTCAAAGTTATTTAGTATGGACGATCGTTTCTCAAACAAAGGAGCAAACCATGATAGAGCTTGCCTTATAAGTAAGGTTCCAACAAGCTCAACACGTGACTCCTCCGTTGGATAGCGTTTGAGTTGTAAAACTGTTATCAACCTGATTTGATTGACGAATCCTCGAAACTTGGAACACATACCATCGAACTTGTCCGGAAGGCTAAGTCGGGGCTCTTTATGTTGTAGAACTAGCAATGCTTGTCGAACCTGAGGCAAAGTTGCTTCTCCAAGTGCAGAAGTTTGAGGCTGGTGCAACCTAGATTGTACCATCCCAGATGCTCTATCATTATGAAGCCTTGCCATGACTCCTTCAATCTCTGTAGTTCTTTGCAATAACGTAGCGAGGGCATTCATGATAGCATCCAACTTGGACTCCAAACTTTTCGTCATACTAATACCTTGGCCTCCAATCATTCTAAGAGAAGGACAGAAATGACTCTACAAGAAGACAATATTGGTTTAGAGGAGGGTACTCTGCAACCTCTAAAATGCCTTAAGAGCTTCAAGAAAAGGGATAATCTCCTCTCTTTAAGAAGAATAAGACTCCAATATTGTAACAAAAGAAGTATGAGTTTAGAGGAGGGTAATCTGCAACTTCTAAAATGCTAGTACACTTCCAAGCAGAGGGGTAGTCCACACTCTAACGAGGAAGAAACTAACTCTGATATCTGAGGTGAATGAAGTCTCGACAAACTGTCACGGATATAGAAATACAGACTTGAGATCTAACAAGAAGTTCAAGAAGAACTGGTAAGAACTAGATTAATCAGATGAATACAAGAACAACACCAGAGAGATGAGCTAGAGCTCCAAGAGATGTGTTGTCGAGACTGAAGAACTCTTCAGCCTCGATTCCAATATATATTCCTATTTAGGAAGCTTTTCAAGCAACTTCTACCAACTAGGAAGCTTCTAGAAGGTTCCAGAGACTTGCTTCTAGAAGGTTTTAGAAACTTATTTCTAGAAGGTTCTAAGGACTATGTCCCTAACATCTTCTACTAACTAAGAAGCTTCTAGAAGGTTCCAGAGACTTCCTTCTAGAAGGTTCTAGAAACTTGTCTTTAGAAGGTTCTAAGGACTATGTCCTTAACATATATATATTAAGAAAGAAATTGGAATGGCTATTGCCAAAAAGCCAAGAAAACTAGAGACCCTTGAAACTAGATTAGAACCAAGAAAAGAATTGACAAGAATGAAGAAGGCTTCACTGTTGTCTCTATATATACTATCTAACTAGGAGTTACGTGGCAACGTTCTATAGGATCTCCAATATTTGTTGACTTTGTAAGACACATGCCTTTATTTACAAGTTAAGTTTTTCTATGTGTGGGCCACATAGTTAGCTTGGTCTTCAAGCTAACAACATATGTGGCACGTGGCTAACTTGTTGACCACGTTTCTAATCCAAAAAGATAATTAAAGACTCCTATAAAGTCAAAGCAACATCTATAAAGCTTCTACGAAACTTCTATAGTAAATACTATAGAATTAATTTACTTTTATCTATTTTTATTCACTTCTATCTATTTATATATGTAATTACTGGCTTACATGAGTATGTCCGTGATAGATTACTATGATTTTGATGTAGTAGAGCTACAATATTTTTTATTGTCTATGTAGTGGAGTCTTTTGTTGGCACTAGAGGTGTGGTGGCATTGCAATGGAAGTTCAATATAATAATAATAATAATTATTATTATTAGTATTTTTCTTTTTGTGTGGAGAAGAATTAGAAATTAGGCAATACTAAAATAATTCAATTATATGGTGATTAGGAATTAAATTGTAAAATAACTTTCATGTCAACTTTAATAATTGAGCCTATACATGCCTATTAAGGCCAAAGACAAGAAAAATCAGTAAAATAGTAGTAAGTGGTATTAAACATTGAAAGATGGTATAGATGAATTAGAATCAAGCTAGCGCTACTAGTTGACAAGTATTTAAAAAAATATAAAATGTAAAATATAAAATGATACTCAGTTGGTGACTTGTTTAAATATTAAGTGGCAACAAACCTTTACAATCTAAGTTTTTTTATTCATTTGTGCAGTAGATCTATTATAATATTGAGGCGATAATCCACAATATTTGCATCTTTCTTTTAAAGTGCCTTATAACATAGAGGTGCAATGTTTGGTTATTTTGATAATAAGATTGGATTTAAGTTCAACTTGCAATAAAGCAACATCAAATCTATGATATAGTGAGATTTTTTGAGGATGTATTCACAATAGCTAATTAGGTGGATTTGGATGAATAAGATTTGGATTCAATTAGATTAAATTGGATGAATAATTAAGATATGGATGAAAAAACATTTAAATGAAATATCATACTTGAATGAATTATTATACATGAATGAATTTTTATTGATAGATGAAACTTAATTTTAAAATAAATTAATTAATTAATTAATTAAGAATTAAAATAAGGAATTTCTTTGACATGTATTTTGTGACTAAATTGCTATTGTAGGTGAGTCAATAATAGAGGTTTTACTTAATGACTTAGGTATTTAATAGGATTGAAGGATGATTTAATTAGAATTTAAAAAAGAACCACAAATTATTAAATTTATCTAATTAATTTATTTATTGTGAAATAAGGCAATCTTCTAAATAACAAAAGGTTGTTAAATCTATACTTGGTGATTTAAAGAGGTCAAGAATTAATTGATTAAGATTTTAATTAAAGCTAAAATATCTAAGAATTAAATAGTTAATTCACTTATTATGAACTAGAATAAACTTTCAACTAATAGAGGTTTATTTTAGCTCACACTTAGTCAAGAAGGATTGTATTTATATTATGTAAAATCTAAGCATAATATTCAATATTATTAAAAAAAAACTTTACACCTTATTTGAAGTTTTTAGCTTGAATTTTTATCTTAATTGTAAAGAAAAATGATAAATTACTTCAATTGTTTATAGATAATCAAAGACTCAATAAGATTTTAAATAAGAATAGATATCTTTTACATTTGATATTTAAACTTTTTAATCAATTGAATCAAAAAAAAGTTTACAAAAAAATAGATATACAAGAAACATATAATCTACTATATATCTAAAAAAGAAATGTATAGAAGACTAAATTTCAAACCATATATGGAAATTTTGAATATACTATCATGCCTTTTAAACTTACAAATGCACCAACTGACAAGGTCATGAATTATAAATAATAAAATCCTCAATTTACTATTTTAAAAATATAAAAAAATAATAATCATTCAAAGATAATATAATATAAATTTAAAATGGCTATTGTCAAAAACAAAAAGAAAAGAGACACTTCAAACAAGACTAAGAACAAAAAAAATATAAATAAGAGCAAAGAAGGCTTTATCTTTGCTTCCATATATAAAATCTAACTAAGAGCTATGAAACAATATTCTATAAGATCTCCGACATGTGTGTAACTTGTAGGATAAGTTTTTTTCTATATGTTCCACATATCTAACTTATACCACAAATTGTAAATATATGTGACACATAACCAACTTGTTTTCAACAGACAACAAATAATCATTTATGATTTTAATATGAATAAACTTAGTTTTTTTGATTAAAGATATTTCTTGTTTTTTTAACAAAGTTTTTGTCTATAAAATGTTATATTGGTAATAGTTTTTGTCAATAAAATATTATATTAGTATCTTCCACACTTCTTGCATTTTAAAACATACTTTGTAATAACATGATACATCATACTGTGAGATCTTGCACATATGCATCTTTTGATTATATGTTGATTTTACAATGATATATTTTCTAAATGTTTTTGAAGAAGGAGAAGAAGAAGAAAAAGAAAAAACTGCCATCACAAGCCATATTATTGTTAATGCATGTAATATGAAGTAATGATACTCTAAAACATGTATTTATTGAACATTTTCAATTTTAATGTATGAATCAATCAAATAAGAACTTAAACCTTAATGTACTTTTAAAGTTTTCAATATTATTAAAAGATTAGAAAGAGTAAGATAAAAACTTGAAAATGAATGTTGGTTTTGGTTAATACAAATAAAATAATATATTGCTTATAATTTATATAACATAAAAGCAAGCCAAGATATTTATAGAAAGTTTAAAACATATATTTCAGACTTGTAAAGATAGAGGATTAATGTTATTTCAAACATTACAATCACTTAGTGTATGTAAATTGCAAACATACGTGAGAATAAGTACCAGTATTATCAAGTTTTATTAATAGTAGAATACAATATAAAACTCCTAAAAAATCACAGCAAACATGAATATTTCCCAATATAAATACACAGACACCCATTCCTCAAAACCCCCCTCCTCCCCAAATGATTAATTCAACAAGGAATCAACAAAAAAAAAAAAAACAAAACAAAACAAAACTCTCTCCCTCCCATATCCACGGATTTGGGCTTGGGTGGAGTTTTCAAAAACATACAAAAATAAAAATAAAAATAAAAATTGTCTGGAGTAGCCAAAAAGCAAAAAACCCAACTGGAAAAGTAAAGTAACAAGGTCAGGAAAAAGGCAAATTTGAATGTGGGTGAGAGGGGCCAACCGGACCAGGGCAGCGCGGTAGCGCGGCGTTGCTTCCAAGACGAGGTGAGCTAGAGAGAGAGAAATTGGGCGGGCGAGTGAGCGAGCGATGTATTTCAACACCCAATCTGTCGACGCTGCCGATCGTCCAAAACCCACAACGCCGAGATTGGCTCACGTCGGGTGATTTTTTTAGTTTATTGTTTTTTTTGGGAGGCTCTTGCGGCATCGCCGTCACTCGTGCCGACGGAGTGCGGTGCTCAGTTCGTCGCTGACAATCGCCATTTGCAACTCCCGGTGCATCTCTCCCCGACGCAGACGGATTTGTCCTCCCTCCCTCGCTCCCTTTCCCAGGAGACTGACTGCATTTGCAAACCCGGGGTGGTCGTCGGTTGAGTAACGTGTGGGATTGTCTGTTGTAGTTGCGAGAGGAGTCGTCACGTTGGGGAAGCTGCGGGGTTGGTCCTATCCCCGTTACCGACTAGCTATTACCCGGCCACCATCCGCGCATCCCTCGCCAGCCTGGTACCGATTTCGCGTGAATCAGTCGGGACTTGCATGTAGCAGGGACGGGGCACACGTTTTTGCGACGCGACTTGGGTGGCATTGAGCGCTGGAGGGATTGCCTGGATCTCGTCTTTCTTACGCTGGGATCCGCGTCCTTGTGAGAGTTTCGGGCGTTATGGGGCTGTGAGGTTGGGGATTGAGGAGGTGGGGTTTTTTGGGGCGTAGGTTTTTGGGTGTAAGGGTTTTGGGTGTGTTGTTGTTGTTGTTGTTGAGGCGGGGTCTGGAGTTCGGGAGAAGGGTTTAGTGGTGAGATTCGGTGATCGGAAGAAGTAGAAGAAGAAGAAGAAGAAGAAGGGAGCGGGACATGCGTTGGAATGGGGGACCTTGTGTATAACATCGTTCCTGTGGACGATCTCTCGTCTGCGGAGGGGCATCCAGCGCTGAAGTTTCCGGAGGTACTGTAATTCTTCCAGTGTCAATTCTTTTACTAGGTGTTGGAGTCAAGCCTAGAAACTGGCTTTGCTTTTGGTGATGTAGGGCAATACAACAGGTGCTTGCGATTAACAGAAGGCTTTGAGATTTGTTCGTTGAAGAATTCTCATTCAGCTCATTTGTTTGTGGGGGTCAACATTATAGAAGCCGCAGTCTCGACGTCTACATTTCCAAACCACCTGTAATTTGGACTGTGGTCTTGTTTTTTTCAAGTCCACTGCTTACTCTGTAATGTGTGGATCAGTTCAAGCAGCATTGGCAGTACAAGTGTTTATGTTTGTTCAGTTTTTCCAACGATATAATACATAAGAGTTATTTTAGATCTGAGTGTAGAAAATCCTAGAATTCTAGTTATTCGACATGGTTCTGTGATTTCTTATTTTGCATGTAGGTTCGCTTTAGTAATCATTTTGTAAAATGTATTTTTCGTTCCTCAGTTGCGAATTTCCTTTAACAATCTCGAGCGCAATTTTCAACCATTGCAAGAATTCTGGTATCCGAAGGGGTGCCTTTGAAGTTGTTGGTACATTAACGTAGGCTATTTCTCAAATGTCTATCTTGAATCTCTTCCAGTGAGGCGAGGACATGACGTTTCAGCATTCTCGGATCAATAAGTCTTTTTTCATACTAACGTTAGTTTTTATGTTCCGATTACTACAACTGTGACAGTTCTTGAACCTCGCACCCATGATATCAAATCTTCTTCTTCATCGAGCTTCTGCACTTGATGATCATTGGTAGCGTCAGATGTGTTTTTTCAAGCATTTATGCTAGACTTCATACAAAGAGTGGTTTTAGGGCTGCAGTGTTTACTGAATCTGCTGTTGAGTACACACACACACACACTGCTTTATCTTTAGTTTTGTAAAAGACACTTGGTAATTGAACAGGTTCGAGGAGCAATATTCGCCTTGAGAAGCGTTGGTGATTTGCGAAAGCCTCCACATTCACCATGGCGACGCGACATGGATATCTTAGATTGGCTGGGTTGCTGGTTTGGCTTTCAGGTGTGACATTTATTCCGTTATGCCTTGTATCCTGCTTTCGATGAGAGTTTATCTGCTCTCAACTAGCAATGAGACGCTCTTTCCCGTTTGGCAGCTACGTGGTTTAATTGAAGATATATATATATATATATATATATATATATATTTTCCTTCTGTCGAGGCGTTTCTCTTCTGCTAATCTCGATGTCTTTCTCTGCATATTCATTTAAATGAATTCTACGACACGGTCTCTTATGAGTTTCTGAATTCATGACAGGCTTCCAATGTCAAGAATCAGCGAGAACATCTGGTTCTTCTGCTTGCCAATGCTCAAATGCGGTCCAGTCCCGATTCATCGGACAAGGTAGAGACGTTGGGTGCTTGTATTACTTTTAAAATTTCTGATTTGAACGTTAAATTGTGGAGAACGTCTAGTATAATAGGATTGGCTTTGTATCATGCTAGCGTTGCTGGTGATTCAAACCTGCATTTTCTTGTGTTGTTCTAGTCAAATGTCTTACTATTCACTTTTGAAACAGTTGGATGGTAAAGTGGTGAGGAGGATCCGGCAAAAGGTGACAAAGAACTATCAGTCGTGGTGCAGATTTGTTGGCAGGGATTCAGCAATGAGGTGTGAATCAATGTGGAACCTCTCTGGATAATTAAAATGAAGATTTTTTTCTTCCCAAATATTGTGTGTGCTAATGACTCTAATGTAGGGCCTTAGTTAGGTCTTTTATGTCACGCCTCTTGTTCATCTCATGTGGAGTGAACTGAATGATGAGTTTTTAGAGTATGTATCTGTCTTTACATATAATAACATCGTTGCTGTTATGCTCTTCGTGCTTGTCTAGCTTGCCGCCAGGCAAGCGAGTTGGTGACGAACGACAGGAATTGATCTACACATCACTATACTTATTGATTTGGGGCGAAGCGGCCAATTTGCGCTTCATGCCTGAATGCCTTTGCTTCATTTTTCACAATGTAAATTCCTAAAGCGCTTTTGCACAAACATGTATTTACAATAAGTCGTCTTAGAAGCCACGTATTACGCAATGTAAAGGTCATCTGATAGTTATTTGGTAACTTGCTGCAGACGTTTGAGTTGATGCTTTGAAAGAAGTTGTTGCTGTTCACTCTACCTCTAATTATCCGCCTGACCCTCTGACGCAAATTATTTGCTTTGCCAGATGGCTCATGAGTTGACGACAATGCTTGATAAGAGATCGAATGGCGAGAACTCCAAACCATTTACGTGTGAACCTAATGGGTTTCTGAAGAAAGTGGTCTCTCCTTTGTATGAAGTTGTGAAAGCGGTGCGTTATCTCATTTTTGATCGTGCTGGTACAGCACATTGCTTGCTGTTTTCGTTTAGTAACTTAATTCCGTCACAATGTGGACACGAATCTAATCACCATAATGGTCGCAATTTCTGAATTTTCTTGCTTTTATGTTACTGTCTGGAGACGAAGATGAAGACACCAGCACTTGTATGTATATGTTGGTGCAGGAGTCAAAAGTGAACGGTGCTCATTCAAAGTGGCGGAACTACGACGATATTAATGAATACTTCTGGTATAGTATGTAACCCTTATTCAGTAGAAACGTATGATATCTGTAACCCGTGAAAATGCTGAACGTTTCTAAACATATTCAAACTTTCTGTTCGCTTTAATTTTTTTCTTTTCGCGTTTTATCATATGCATAATGTGGTGTAGCCTTTCTACTATATTAAGAGCACGCTACAGAACAGTCTACTCGCCCGCAAATGCGTGGATATCTAGTGCACAGATACTGGGGAATTTCGGAACTCTTCTAGTGAGACATTGTCTGGTGCATCTACGCCTGGCCTTTGAAGCCCGATGCACAGTTCTTCGGACTTTTGAAATCACTGCGACGTTGTTCGTGTAATGTCCCACGCAGTTAGTGTGGAACTTAATGTAGAAAGTGGATGCTCTGGTCAGGTCTGATCGATGTTTCACCCATCTAAAATGGCCATTGGACGAAGCCTCTAATTTTCTCGTCAAGCCCCAGGTTGGTTTCTTTACTAGTACCGGTTGAATGTATTGTGTTGGATACTTTAGGTGATTGATGGCACATGTCCTGAATTTACATATGTCGAACGTTCTCTCAGGTAGTAGAATTAAGATAGGAGGGTGTGCAGCAGTCTGTCATGTGTATGTATTAAGTACTTGGAATGTATATGGTAGCAGCCGGGTAAACCTTTGACGAGGCAAAAGGTGGGCAAGACTGGATTTGTTGAACAAAGATCATTCTTCCACATTTTTCGAAGCTTCGACCGACTGTGGATAGGTTATATACTGGTGCTGCAGGTGAGCTGACAATGTTCTATTTTGAACAACAGTTTTATGGGTATTACGAGTATAGTTGCGTAATTTTCCTTTGTAATGTTGGACGTTGGTGATTTCATACATGATGCTTGTTATGCTTGATTCATACAGCAATTGCGAAGAAAATGTGTATTTTTCAGAAAAATAGCTTTGACACTGGTTGTGGATTTTGGAAATGTAGTTAGTCATTACTTTGCTCGAAATGGTTCATGTTTTGTGACCTGCTCCAAGTTTACGGTTATAGATCAAATTCTCAAAGTTCACACAAAATATCTCTCTCGTAGTGTCGATCGGATTCAGCTTTGTGCATGTTTACTTTGGACTGCGGATGATTGAAAGAGAGAGCTCTTTTCTCCTCAGCCATGGGAACTGACGCATTGTTTACAATCTTTTTTCAGGCGTGTATAATAACATTGTGGAATGGTCAGCAAAGAGCACCTTGGGTCGAGTTGCAAAACAGAGATTCTCTGGCTCGCTTGTTGACCATTTTTATAACTTGGTCAGGCCTGCGACTTTTCTTAGGTACTCTTTCTAATATTGGTGGAATGACGTCATTTTTGAATTTAATGTTTTCATGAGTTGGTCAACTCAAACAAGCAGTTTTGAACTTTGAATTTTGAAGTTTTTTTATTTCAATATTGAATGTTTGGGTGGCACACCGAGCTGACTTTCGTTTTCAGTTTCTTTTCTATCTTAATTGCTACATGGGGTTGTGGATTTAATTTTTTGGCTGGAAAAGCTTCAATAAAAATTTGAAACCATGTCAATTTATAATGCAGTTATATTTTTACCTTGAACAAGTATCTTTAGAAATGAATCTCGAAACTTTACGCAGGGTCTAATTGGATGATTGCATTTGGTGCAGCCTTGCTTGATTTGGTTATGCAGTTTAAGCTGGTTTCCCGGGAGACATGGAAGACTGGGCTACGAATGCTTTTGAAAGTGGTGGCGGCTATTATTTGGGTTGGAGTTTTCTCAATACTCTACAGGTTAAGATCCATTTTTTACACTTCAATATCCCGAATATGTCATCTGTCAGTTTGCAAACCCTCTGCAGTATGCCAGGAGATTAAGAATCTCTTAGTTTTGGAAATCGACGAAGTAATTTTCTGCAAAGACGTCGGCACGAGTGGTTGAGGAAAGAATTGTCAGCCACCATCGACTTTTGAGAATTTATTTTGGAAGTCCTCGTCCAATGTTGTTGTTGCTGATGATATCTTGATTTGCAGAAGTATGTGGTCCAAGCGGCATCAAGATCATAGTTGGTCTAACGCTGCCAACACACTCTTCAACCGATATATATATGCAATGGCGGCCTTTATTCTCCCAGAGGCATTGGCACTTGCATTATTTATTATCCCGTTTGCTCGGAATTTTGTGGAAAAATCCAGATTCAAATTGTTCCATCTTTTGACCTGGTGGTTCCAGGTATGCTCGTTTATGATAAGACTTAGTTTTCGATGAAGTTGAGTATCATGGAAATGAAACGTTGTTTATATGCGGTACTCTGGTTATTATGGTTGGCAATGTTGTTAACATTGAGACTCCTGTCTGTTGGCCTATGTTACAGTCTCGCATATATGTTGCTAGGGGTTTAAGGGAGGGCCTGTTGGATAACTTCAAGTGAGTCCTAAGTTCCCTATCAGTTCTTGCACCCTCTACACCTTATCTGCTTCGATTTTGCTTGGGTTAGGAGATTTCGCAGTGAAAGTTGCGTATGAGAACTCTGTACAGTAGCATTCAGTTTATGATGAGTTCAGAAACTGTGGATGTTATTTCTTGAAGTTTATATAGAAATTTTCATTGCTTCACAACTCTTGATTAGAAACCAGTTCATCAATTATCAGGCGAATGCTTTATTGTCGATTTAGATTTCGGCGGCCTTTCCTTGCTAAAACCTTATGATCTCCAGGTACACACTGTTTTGGATTCTTGTGCTGGTATCCAAGTTCCTCTTTAGCTACTTCCTCCAGGTAAATTTGATTTTAAAGACATTTTTTCGTTGTTTCCTCTCTTGTAGATCAAGTCATGATTTATGTTGAAATGGTATGTGCACGGGTGGGAGTCTAATTACTTTCTCTGTATGTGCAGCTGAAACCTCTTATAACGCCGACGAAAGAAATCTTATCTATCACAGATATTCAGTACAGGTGGCACCAGATCTTCAAGGGAGGTATGAGCATTCCCTCTTGGATATTCAGAAGTGACTTAAGTATAAGCTTTGTGTATTGTGTGGCTTGTCGCGCGTGTATATTCTTTGTCAATGTCTCACTGAACACTCCACCGTACCGTCGTGAGAACTAGTAGTATTTGTCTGGTACGTGGTTTGAACCGTACCACATAAAACGAACCTTTAGAGTACGGCTTGCAAGTATTATACTCACTATGTGGTTTTTCTTACATGCGACTCTCGTTACATCTGATTGTAGGCAACAGAGTTGCGGTGCTTGCGATTTGGGCTCCAGTTATATTGGTAAAATTACTCATATTTCGTTTCTTGTATTACTTGTCTTAACCCTTTTTGCCCTTCTAGAGTGGCATTGGATAAGACAAGCCTGGAAATTGCGCAAATAGCTGAACGAAATGTAACTTATTGTCTCTTCTTGAGGCAGTGGTGTTACATGTGGGGTGTCTAGGACCGACGGAGGGGCATAATGCCATGAAAGGAATCGAACTGCCAGAATACTAGACGCATTACATTAGCTCACCTAGTCACTTATTTTCACCGTTCTGTCTAATCGCCTAGTTATTGTATGAACTCGTGCCTGTGTTTATAAGCTACTGTCCGTGTTCAGATCTATTTCATGGATACACAAATTTGGTATACCGTCTGGTCTGCGCTTGTTGGAGCATTAGTAGGCCTAATGGATCATCTTGGAGAGGTATTCATTTTCAATCACTGTATTTACACTGGAAGGACATTACTCGAATTAATCTGTTTCTCATAACCTTTTGATGTTTTCCATACCTTCTAGGTGCCGTCTAAATATTTCTAACTGTTGTATCTTTAATTCATGATGTTTCAGATCCGAGACGTCCATCAGCTAAAGATGCGGTTTAAGATGTTTCCTCATGCTGTTCAATTCCACCTCATCCCTGCGTCAGAGAGTCTCAAACAACAGTAAGTTGTATTACCATCTTGTACTCTTATTCACTGTTTTATATTGTGAAGACGATATCATTGCAAATATTTTCGCTACTCTTGAATTAAGGAAAACTATCCACTAAATCATGTTCTCTGTACTTGCGGCCAATCAGCGTAGCAGGTTTTTGGATAATTGCTTATTGTTGAACATTTATTTCTGAAAAGCATGCACTCATATACTTAAGAACATGTTAGTTGAAGTGGAGGTCAATCTGATGCATTTACTGTGCAAAAGTGTCACAGAGGGCATATTCTCAGCAATCAACAAGTGTGGGAACGTAACTTTTGAAAAAAGTTTGCAGTGTTTTTCACTAGTGTCAATTAACATCAATCAAAATGTCATTTTCGCAGTTATGAAGATTGAAATTAAATTTCTTTTTTTGTACTACACCATCCAAAGATCTTGAAAGTATTATAGCAAAAGTTCACCTTCTCTTGCACTTCAAAGGTCATGAAGTGGACAAGGAAGCCCCACTCAATTTTTTGCTTAGTGTACTCAAATATGTCCTGTTTTTGTTTTAGGTTCGGCTGGACAGCTTATTTTAGGAATTTTTATCACCGTACCCGACTCCGATACGGTACCGGAGTGTCACCCCAGGTAACGGAGGTGAATGAAAGGTCTTTATGTTATGTTTACTGTGAAAATTACCTATTATTCTAGCGTTTTCTAAATGTTTTAGCGTACAGGAGGAGCAAGTGGAGGTCAAACGCTTTTCACATATTTGGAATGAAATTCTAAAGATTTTTCGAGAAGAAGATCTCATAAGTAACAGGTTCGCTCTTTATCCTAAAACTTGTCTTTCTACATGTGCTGGACCCTAGAGTCTATATCCTATACTCAGATATTCTTTTTGTGCTTTGCTTTGCATAAATGTTGTGTGGGCTAATTTCCGTTAGTTCTGTGACTTGTTGGAACCTTCTCTGCTTATTTTGAATGGGTTTATTATCGTTAAGAAAGTAGAGGAAGAAGGATGATTTCTGGTTAGATTTGTGGAAACTAGTAAGGCAGGTTCATTTCCCTGAATGAAACTCTTTTTTCGGAATCATTTAAAGCCTTTTTTTTTTTTGTTGCCAACCGCATGTCTTGTAAATAATCTTCTATTCGATTCACAAAATATAATTCTTTCATCCTAAAATTGAAGATCGCCACCTTCACTTCTAAAGTTTGAATATGAAATTCAGTTCCAGTTTTATGTTTAGTGTTGGTTGCCTTTTTTGACATGCTCACAGAGAACTGGAGTTGTTAGAAATACCAGCACAAGTGTGGAATATTTCAGTATTTCAGTGGCCTTCAACATTGCTCGCAAATGAGGTCAGTATATTGTCGTGTTGGTTGTCTTGCATTGACATCAAGGAATCAGATTTAGGTGTTTGTGGTCACTTCATCACTAGGTGCTTGATTCTGTATTAGCTTAGAATTGTCTCATGAACAACTGTAATCCGAATATTGCGAGAATGTTGAAATTGACAACTGAAGGAGCGGTTCTAGCTTGATATGTATGAGAAATAGCGTGCCTGTGAGATAGTTTTATACCCGAGATTTAAGGAGTCAAATCTTTGAATAATTTAATTGATAATGTATGTGGTACCAAAGGTCAACATACTGGAGTACAGTATGATTTTCTTCTCCTTCGCATGGTTCTTACTTGATTTTTTCTGTATGTACAGATTCATACTGCTTTGAATATTGTTAAAAATATGCATGCAGAAGACAAGGCTGTGTGGAAGAAAATTATCAAAAGCGACTATCGGCGATGTGCTGTTATTGAGTCCTACGAAAGTATAAGGCATATTCTAAAGAATAGAATCTTGAGAAAGAATTCATCCGATCAAATTTTGGTGTCAACCCTCTTTGATGACCACATTGACAGAGCCCTCAATCAAAAACCTATGGGGCAATTTACGGAGGCTTTCTCTCTATCAAAACTACCCGGTGTTCATCAACGTATTCTTACTCTTGTCAATAGTATGTTGGCACTAAAAATGTTGCTCAGTAAACATGATAAAGCACGTGAATTGGAGACGGCAAGGGATGCGGAAAGTGAAAAAGCACGTGATACTGAACACGAAAAGGCACGTGAGAAGGTATGATCGCATTTTACGGAATGGGGGCAGTCATTATGAGGTCCCATGACATTTTTATTGTATTTTTCACTTCGAAAACTTCACTGTTTACTGTCTTGTTGTTTCTTGAAGGATGGGATAGCACAGCTTCGAACTTTTGTTTAGTCTTGGTACTTCTCGAAAGTCTTTTTACAATATCTACTGATTTGTAAATTTTCTTTTTGTCTGTCCAGGTGGTTAGTTCATTGCAGGATTTATGGAATTTTGTTACCACTGAATTTGCGAAAAAGAATGAGAGGGACCGCATCAATGCCAGCTTCGAAGATAAGCATTTTGGTCCGAAGGCGTTGGCAAATCTCTTCAACAATTCGGTTGAAATACCTCATCACAAGGATGAAAGTTTCTACAAACAACTCAAGCGGCTACAGACCAGCTTGGTAACAAAGGACACCCTTCTGGATGTTCCGCATGGTCTGGAGGCCCGGCGCCGCATTTCATTTTTCGCCAATTCTCTCTTCATGACTATGCCGCGTGCCCCACAGGTTTTTTTATTTTATTTTATTTTATTTTAATTCTCACATTCACTTCATCAAGTACATGAGTGGTTAACAGTGCTGGAAATAGCTGCATATGTGATAAATTTCTGCAGAGCATGTGTAATTCAGGGTTTTCTTTGGAGGATACATGTAGTTGTTGAAACTCAACATGGTCTCTGGCTTTGCAGATCTCATACCGTAGTTAAGTTCAGATAGTCATGTCGCCTGGTACATGTTTCATGTCAAGTTTCGCAACTGGTTCATTCCCCTCCACCAGATCATTGGCCGCTACGTACTTTTCTATTTCTGATACCATTCAAGTCTTTTTGATACTTAACAGGTGGAGAGAATGAATGCTTTTAGTGTTTTGACTCCTTATTATCATGAAGAGGTCATCTACTCGTTGAAAGACCTTAATACTGCAAATGAAGATGGCATCACTACCTTATTTTATCTGCAGAGAGTCTTTCCTGGTTCGATCTCAAGCATAAACTCATCTTATTTTAAACGTACCTTTATTAGCGTTTTCAAAATACCATATCACATCAGCACTTACGGATAGTAATGCTTCCTTGTGTGATTCGTTTGTCCTGAGCATTTCGTGTCTTACTTGTGGACGTAAGTATTATGTTGCTTGATATTTAGTCGATTTTTTCAGATGACTGGAATAATTTCAAGGAGCGGTTTGGAGGTTCAAAAGAATCTGATGAAAAATTTGTTAATCGCATGAGTGGTAAGGATGACCCAAAGAAGGACGATGCAAAGAAAAAAGATCCTGAAAAGAAACGTGATGAAGTTGGCCTTGAGCTTTGTTTGTGGGCTTCTTATCGAGGACAAACACTTGCACGTACTGTGCGTGGTATGATGTACTATGAGAGGTCAGATCCATTTCTCGTGCTGAGTCTCGTGTCATGCGTCACCTGTAAATGTTCAGCTTTCTGTTCTTTATAAGTTTGGTCAGGACCCAGTGTTGACTCGTAGCTGTCGGAGCTGCACATGAGATTTGTTGGTCACGTAAACTACACCAATAACATTGTGTAGTGTGTGATATTTCAATTATGTGTCTTACCATTGTCAATTTTAGTCTCAATATAATCTGTTAGTCTTGCATATGTGCACATGCCTCAGTTTAAGTAATCATGTTTGAATTAGTTGCAGTGACGCTGAATCTTCTGTGTATCCTTCGAAAGATTGAAGCTAATTCAATTTGAGTGTTGTCGATGTCAGCACCGCACAATTCCCGTGCTAGTTGTTTGATCTAATACCTCGTCTTTATTGTTCAAATAAATTTCCATTGACCATTCTCAGACGTTTATGTTGCATTTTAATGTGTATCTCCATGGTCATCGTTTTACATTCGACTTATGCTCAAGTTCTCCGGGATTTTTATACATGTGACAGTGTCTCGACCTGTGGTTTCTTGCAGAGCTCTTGAATTTCAGGCCTTCTTAGATGCTGCTGAAATACGAGATCTCGACGAACTGCTAGGTTATAAAGAAATGATGGATCGAGCTTCAAGCAGTACTAGTGAAGGGTCCAGTCGGCGGCGTCAAGGTGAAACTTCAGAGCAAAGAGAGAGTATTAATGAACAGAGGAAGAGCGCGGAGCTTGCAATTGCTGCCATGAAATTCACCTATGTGGTTGCCGCTCAAGTATATGGAGCTCAAAAAAAGAGTGGGTCAAATGCTGCGAAGAGTATTGCTTATCTGTTGGAATTATATAAAGGTCTCCGGATTGCATATGTGGATGAAGTGGATACACCTGCTGGCAAGCAATATTTCTCTGTTTTAGTCAAGTATGACAGAGTTGCTAAGTTGGAGATGGAAGTTTTTCGAGTTCAGTTGCCTGGGCCACTGAAGCTAGGGGAAGGGAAGCCAGAGAATCAAAATCATGCTCTTATCTTTACAAGAGGCGATGCTGTTCAAACTATAGATATGAATCAGGTTATGATACTTCTATATTGCAAAATTGGTCAAGCAGTAATCATTACAGGTCTTTGTAGATTGCTGGCATCAACTTGGATTCAATGTGTTTTCTTGGTTCATCCTCTGGCCGTAGTGATAGAATTGATAGAAAATAAGTTTGAGATGCTTCTAACCTGTTTATTTTGTCTTGAAGCTTCTACTATTCTTACTTTTTATTTTTCTTTTGACCAGTCTTGCTTCCTGGGTGCAAGAAGTGGTTTTCTTGATAGATTTTCCCTTGATTATGAAGTGTGGGAAGTGTCCCGATCTTGCTACACTTGGGCTTGTGAACTAGAATGACCGACTAGTGTGAGCTAAGTATGATGGTGTCGTTTTGTGTTACAGGAAATGTATTTTGAAGAGGCTTTGAAAATGCGTAATCTCTTGGAAGAGTTTGACAAACGCCACGGTGTTCGTAAACCAACTATATTGGGAGTTCGTGAGCACGTCTTTACTGGTTCAGTCTCATCATTAGCCTGGTTCATGTCAGCTCAAGAAACAAGTTTTGTGACACTAGGGCAGCGTGTTCTGGCCAACCCACTGAAGATTCGAATGCATTATGGGCATCCCGATGTTTTCAACAGGTTGTGGTTCTTGAGCCGAGGAGGTATCAGCAAAGCATCTAAAACAATCAATATAAGTGAAGATATTTTTGCTGGCTTCAATTGCACACTGCGTGGTGGCACTGTTACCCATCATGAATACATTCAGGTGCCATTTCTTCTCTCGTAGTCAACAGTACATTGAAATAATTCTAACCCTCTTTTATGAGCTTCTATTTGCATCTTCTTCTTCTTCTTCTTCTTTTTTCTTTTTTCTTTTTCTGTTCTTTTTTCTTTTTTCTTTTTTCTTTTTTCCGCCCCGGTATTGAGTCTTTAACACTCAGAATGTTTTAATTTGCTCATCTTTTGTGCATCGATAATTGGTCTAATTTTTTTTTAGAGATTGAATAAAAAGTTTGAGTATTCACTGCATTATTAAGCAATTTGTGGTATCTATCACTAGTAATTAATGACCAGTTATGGGCATGGATCAGAAAATGAATAGAAGATGATGATTATTAGTGCAGTACCAATTACTAGTTATGGGAAGTGCCACTGTCACAACTTGAATTTGTTCTTACTAATTCCTATTTTCTACTTCGAAACACGTAATCTGCATCAATTATCAAGTCGCACTAAGCAAGTTTATTTTATTTTAACTGTTAAATTACTCTTTATTTTAGCAGCGATAAGTATAGACAGTCACTTGTACATTGCACCTGTCGTTTGTGTAATAGTTTCAGACATTGTGATGAGTCGAACTTATCATTCACCAAACTTTGTGTTTGACTGGACAGGCTGGAAAGGGCAGGGATGTGGGTCTAAATCAGATTGCCATGTTTGAAGCCAAAGTGGCAAGTGGTAATGGCGAGCAAGTTTTGAGTCGAGACGTGTATCGCCTGGGCCACCGCCTTGATTTTTTCCGAATGCTGTCGTTCTACTATACGACAGTTGGATTTTTCATCAATAACTTGTTAGTTGTGCTTACAGTATATGCCTTTTTATGGGGCCGCGTTTACTTAGCAGTGAGTGGGGTAGAGGCTTCTCTTCAGAACTCGAAAATCTTAAGCAACACAGCGTTATTAGCCTCCTTGAACCAACAGTTAATTGTACAGTTGGGAATCCTGACTGCACTGCCCATGATCGTTGAAAATGCTTTAGAGCATGGTTTCACGAAGGCCTTGTGGGAGTTCTTCACGATGCAGATGCAGTTGGCATCTGTTTTCTTCACCTTCTCAATGGGCACACGTGCTCACTACTTCGGTCGTACTGTACTTCATGGTGGAGCCACTGTAAGTCTCGACCTTGCCTCTTTATCCTGTTTTCTTGTTTCATTTACCTTTGTGCCTTCCTCTTAGCTGGTGATATGATGACCAGTCCATCTCCTCATACTTGATGTCGAGTTTTCACCTTTATAGTCAGCAATGGTCTTCATTTAGCATAAGCAAATGGACTTCTAGACCTCGATCTTATCAGGAAGGTTTTTGTTTAACGTCTGGCAGCGTCAAAATTTTCCAGTTTTTGTATTGCATTGTGGCATGTACTGACGCTCCTGTACATAAATTGGGTTGTGCAGTACCGGGCTACTGGTCGTGGGTTTGTGGTGAAACACGAACGGTTTGGCAAAATTTATAGGCTTTATAGGACCAGTCATTTCGTTAAAGCCATTGAGCTCATCGCGCTCTTAATCATCTATCGTGCTTATGGATCTAGTCGATCATCCACGACTTACTTACTTATTAGTTTGTCTAGTTGGTTCCTTTCGCTGACATGGCTGGTGGGGCCCTTCATCTTCAACCCGTCTGGTTTTGACTGGCTGAAGACTCTGGAGGATTTTGAAGACTTTATGGGTTGGCTGAAGTACAAAGGAGGCTTTATAGTGGACTCTGAGCAAAGTTGGGAGAGTTGGTGGATGGAAGAACAATCACATTTTAAAACCACTGGTATTTTGGGAAAAGTGGCGGACATAATTCTTAATCTGCGATACTTCTTCTTTCAGTATGGGATCGTCTACCAGCTCAACATAACTGCGACCAGTCAGAGCATATTTGTGTATGTTATCTCATGGAGCTACGTAGTTGTGGCTGCTTTGATCCACTTCGTCCTCGCCGTTGCTGGCAGTCGCTACTCTAACAGGAAGCATGGTCTTTATCGAGCAATCCAAGCAGCCCTCATCACAGTGATTGTCGCAATTATCGTGGTGCTGAAAGTTTTCACAAGCTTCAGTTTAAGAGATCTCTTCACCTCATTGCTGGCTTTCGTGCCCACTGGTTGGGGCATCATCCAGATCCTCACTGTTATTAGGTTTCGAGGTCTCGAGAAGTCCTTCGTGTGGCCCGTAGTCGTTAATGTAGCTCGACTTTACGAGTTCGGCATCGGACTCATTGTTCTGGTTCCTGTCGCTGTTCTATCGTGGCTTCCTGGTTTTCAGGCCATGCAGACTAGGGTTCTCTTTAACGAGGGTTTTAGTAGAGGTCTCCAGATTTCGCAGCTCTTTGCTACTGTTCAGAAGGTCAAAAAGTCAGATTAAAGATTTTCAAGCTTGGCCTGTGAAGCTTGTTCTCTACCAGCAAATCACTGGTTGCAGTGCGTTTGCCTTTTCTGCATTAAGCATGTGGAGACCATTGCATTCCGGTGCCCTCAACAATGGTCAACAACAGACTTTCATTAGTATGTTTCCGCCATTACCTTTATAATGAGGTGGAGGTAAGTGGGGGGTGCTGATAACACGTGGAGGAGCTTTGTTGTGATCATTTGTCCTAGCGAAATGCTCATTTTGTTAAGCATATAATCTGTACTGGTCAAAAAGCTGTCGAGGTAAAACAGTCTGTCAAGTGGGAATCCTCCATGGTCGTGGACGAACATGTTCGTAATTTCAGCTTCAATATATCTTGAGACTTGTATTTTATTCAGTACTTTCAGGTGCAGATCCAATATTTATGGTGTTGTGTTAATTGTATGTAATGTCAAGTAAAGTGCAGTGGTGCCTTCGGATAAGTGATAGACACTTCCAAGTGATCTGTATTCATCATTTTCAATTAAATTGATTGTAGATGCCACCAAGTTGAAAAATCCCAATGTTGCCTTCTGAACTATTTCTACTTTTTGTTGAGAGCATTAAATGTAGTTAGTGCTCTCTATGCTATTTACTAAAGTCTATAGTAAATACTGTAGTTACAATGTTTGGAATGCAGTGGAGAGAAATTGTTTATCTTCTCTTCTTTTTATATATGTGAAAAAAATCATATCAAAAAATTCTCTTTGGTATGTGTATGTTTTTATACATGTGTGTGCATATTACTTCTAGCTATTCTTGTCTCTCTCTCTAAAATATTCTCAACATGTTATCAGCACGATTGTTTTTATGCACTAGTTTTGGTTCTTAAAAAAACTTATGTGCAATTTATCCTTTGTTTTTTCAGTTATTTTTATTTTCCCTTGAATTGTTGTTGTTGTTCTTATTGTGCTATTGTTGTTAATGTTGTAGTATTGAATTGTTGTTGTATTGTTGTTGTCTTGAGTTATTGTTGTTGAACTTTGCCACTGATTGTCGCATCTTGCTATTGATTGTTACACCTTGCCATTGACTATCGCATCTTGCTATCGATTGTTGCATCTTATTGCTATTTGTTGCATCTTGCTACCGATTGTTGCACCCTGTTGCCAAATTGCCATAGTTCACTACAAACTCTTATTTTTATGGAGAAATATATATATATATATATATATATATATTTTTGATTTCAAGTATCAACTTTATCATTTTATTTGGCTTTACATTTTAAGGTGCATTTTACTCAACTTTTTCTACTTGATCTTATATTTTTGTTTAAAGATTTATTTATAATGAGTGCTTCAACATCCTCAATTGCCTCTACTATGATTCCAACTATCCCCACTACATTCTAACAATTTCAAGCAATTCTATTTCCACCGTTGGCTGCTGATGGAAACAATTATCTATTATAGGCAAAAATAACAAAAGCAAATTTATTTACAAAACAACTCTCGGATGTAATTCTGTTTGAAGAATCTTCTACAATAATTCCACTTACTATTTGTTTAAAGAATCTCCTACTTCAATTCCTCTTATTATCTGTTGGAAAGAACTTCTTCTCTTTTGTCGTCATCTTGTACCTGCATTGCAACATCAATATTTGGAATTGGAAGATCAAGCTAAGCTCTAAGAGAATCTTAAATCCAGGTTTTTTCCATATTTGAATAATTTTTTCTTAGACTTTGAAATATTAAGTGTATGAGATTCTAGAACCATGGTTCCAATAGGATGAGCTTCTGTATTACGTAAGAGTAGCTTGTTTTATTTCTTTATAAGAAGAAGATAAGACACGAGATCAGAATGACTTTAAAATTTCATGTTCTTATATTATTGTGCAAGCATAGTAGATGTGGGAAGAAATGTAGAGAGAGTTTTCTCAATCATTTCTTCTTTAGAGATTCTTTGTCTATATAACTATAGTTGTGAGACAATACGGTATATTTCATTGTTGAAAGCATTTAAATTTGGAAAATTCAAGATACATAATTGTATCCAATCATGTCATGCACGTGGAAAGAAAATAGTATTTTGAATGAGGCTCGTGAAGTTTATACCATGGATGCATCTATAGATTTAATTGATGTTGATGATTTAGAAGCTTATATGAATGATAAAACCTCTAATGGTGAGTCAAATGATGTATTCATTGATTCTACAACAATACATACTATCTTGTGGGATAGACGATTTTTATTGAAAAATCTTCAATTTGGCAAACTAGAAATTTGATAGCTATGGGTGGAACAAATGTGTTTCATTTCCAAGAGAGAACAACAATGGTAAGATTTCTTGCATGCTCTATCATAAAATGTAAACATGCAATGTTTACACCTTCAGCACCTCAGAGTTTGATGAGCTACCAAAATATGCTTGCTAATGGTTATCACCTGTCAACCGCAATTCTAGATAGGTAGGAGGTTTTGATTCTTGAACAGAACTATAAAGTTATAAAAAAAGTTTGTACTGCGATAAATAGTTTATACCAATTTGCAATCCGGCCTCCTATTATATTTAATTTTGCATCATCTATTAGAGAGAGTCACATTTTTCTCTGACATAGATGATTGGGACATCTAAGATCTACATTATTTTGGAAGATAATTCCATGTATAATTGGGTCTAATTTAAAACTTAAAGATGCAGATTCTATAGAATTATGTCATGCATGTGTACAAGACAAGATAATTGCTCGGCTTTCAATTTGAAAACTCCCACGAGAGTTACTACCAATGCTTGAAAGATTACATGGTAATATTTGTGGTCTAATTAATCCAATATCTAGACGATTTCATTATTTTTTGGTCTTTATTGATGCATCAAGCAAATAATCACATATTTTATTATTATCAATATGAAACATAGTATTTGCCAATCTTATATCTATGCTTATTCATTTTTGAGCACATTTTCTTGATTATTCAATCAAAACATTGCATATGGACAATGCAAAAGAAATTGTATCAAAGTCTTTGGAAGACTATTATAGTGCAATAGGAATTAAGTTGAAATATTATGTTCCATATGAACATGCTCAAAATAGACTTGCAGAGTTATTTATAAAGTATATACAACTCATTACTAAACTAGTCTTTTTTCACATGAATTTATCTACATCTATGTGGGGTCATGCAGTCTTACATGTTGCACCATTAGTATACCTCCATCCTTCTTCTCTTGAAATTATTACACCATAAGAGCTCATTTCAAGTCATGTTTTAAATGTATCTCACCTATGGGTGTTTGGTTGCCATGCTTGGGTTCTAGTATCAAAACCCCAATGGTACACCATTGAAATTCATTGACAAGAGGGCATATATGTTGGTTTTGATTTATCAAGTATTATTCATATAGTTGATCCATCTCATGGATATATATATATATATATATATATATATAGTACATATTCGTATGGCACATTATTATATGCATGTTTTCAAAATTTCTATTTTGAAGAGAATATATTTCCATTTCTTCAAAGAGGAATATTTAATCAAGAAAGAAATACAGTACTTATATTTAAAACACCAGAAATATGAATCCTAATCTTATAACAGCTTTGGTTGAAACTAAAGTTGTCAAGATTTTGTATCTAAAATGAATTATAAATGAAACACTTGATGGCTTCAATGATGCATCTTGGATTATAAGAGTTCTAATTAATGAAGCTCAGAATGAACCTTCTTAGATTACAATACCACTAACTAATATACCTCAAGTGATAACATCAAAAATAAAAAAGACTTCTAGACTAGATATTAAATCTTTAAAAGAAAAAAGCTATAACATGTAGTGATTTTGATTTTACCTTTGCAAAAGTTCTTACTAAACCTACGAGACTATCAATTAATGACAATATATCCATGGAAATTATATCTTGACCTCATGCAATAGAAAATCTTGAAATTAAGAAGAATAAAATTAAATTGAATATAAAATTATCTATTCTATATTATGCTATAAACAACCTTTGGAATATACCATCTATTATAATAGATGAATCATTTGCATTCATGATTGCAGAAGTTTTTTCTTATGAGAAAGAGGATCTTGAACCTCAAACCATCTAGGAAGCAATAGGTTGCTTTGATTGGTTAAAATGGAAAATTACCATTGAGGATGAATATGCTTCTTTATGTAAGAAGAAAGTCTTTGGTCCAATTGTGGACACTATTACTTCTTGCCTCATGGGATATAAGATGATATTAATATGTAAGCGAGATGCTAAGGATCAAATAATCTACTATAAAGCTTGTTTTGTTGCCCAAGGATTTATCCAATAAATTGGTATTGATTATGAAACTACATATTTTCCAGTCATGGATTCAATTACATTCTAATATATTATTAGAATGGCAATTCATGCCACCCTTGAGATGTATCTCATGGATGTGAAAACTGCATATTTGTACGGTTCTCTTAAAGTAGATATTTATATGAAAGTTCCATCTAGTTTGGAAATATAAATTCCAAATGCATATGCTCCAGGACAATATTGTGGTATTAAATTACACAAGGCCTTGTAGGGTCTAAAACAAGCTGGAAGCATGTGGTATCAATGTCTCTGAGATTATTTAATCATAAAAAAGTTTGTAAGTGATCCATTAATTCCTTGTTTATTTATCAAATGAGATAAAATTGGTTTTGTGATCATTGCTATATATGTTGATGATCTTAATCTAGTGGGTACTAGATTTGCATGCATTATAGCTACATATGTCCATATTACTAAGAATGATTGTCCATTTTACTAAGAATATTTTTATTTAACAATATGACAATACTAAAAAATAGTTAAAATCTCTCTCTTCTTTGAAATATGATTTGAAATTATCTAAAGATAAATTATAGGGAATAACAACCATGTCCAAAAAAATAATTTACAAAAAAATACAAAAATAAAAATTCCAAAGAAAATTATGTTATAAGAAGAAAAAAAGAAAAATATGAACAAAAAAAAAAAAAAAAAAAAAAAAAAAACATTAATGCAAATTGGAAATTTTCCTTAAATAACTACACTTAGCCTAAAATATTTATTTTAGCGCTCTAAGTCTAATTTAGATAGCAAAATGTGGATTACTTAGAAAATTTCAGGTTGTTAAGGTTGGAAACTTATATTAGAGGTTTGATTTGGTTGCTCATCATCAAGTCATCTAAAAAATATCAAGGAGCTATCTATCATCCATCTTCATCCAAATGCAAGGATAAGATAAGAATTCAAATATGTAAAATCAATACCTTTTTGTCAAACCAAGTGCTTCAATTTACTTTAGAAGTTTTAAAGATTCTTGATGTTAATAAAAAGAATAATAATAATAGAAAATTTAAAAATATGATTATAATAATTTAATAATAAAAAAG